GTAGTAGTATTATTAACAATAATATATATATATATAATGTTACAAGTAATTACCATTATCTTTTATTAATAAGCCTATAGGCCTATTATTATCAATCATGAACAATGAACATTTAGAATAGGCCTACTTACTAAAACTACATTCAACAGTTGAACAAAAATTGAGCATTTACTGTATATTGTTTAACTGTATCAATTGTTTTCTCTCCAGCCTCTGCTTCTTCTTCGAACAGTTTCGCATTGCGCGTTTTAACTTGGCCAACGTATCTGCTATTCTTTCCTACCCTTCAGAAGGATGGGTACTCTCATTGGCCGTCGATTTCAGAGGTAAGAGTGTTATAATTTAGTTGTAAGGGGCTCCCTGGTTGTACCGTGGCACAAGCTATTTTGAGTTGTGTGTGTGTGTGTGTGTGTGTGTGTGTGTGTGTGTGTTGGTGTGTGGTGTGTGTGTGGTGTGTGTATGTCAAACCCTTTCACATCATGAAATTCGCGTGATTCTACGTACCATTGAATTTCTGAAGGTATATATTGATATGATTTTACGACACATGTCATACTAAGGTACTTAATTCAAATACCCACCTCAAGGTACTATTATACATTGAATTTACCTTGCATGATTGGATGGTGCATTGTTCTCCAAAGTATAATCAATTCTATTAATCCTTACTATTGTTTTTAATCAGAACCATAATATGGTAGATCAATATTAGCAATGTTTTGTCAATTTTTTAAAGTCATTTTGCTTTATTTCATCATCACCTACCGCGGCACTGAGCATTATTTACACTCTCTATAAATTTGCATTATAATTATTGCAATCAGTGTATTATAATGATTATGTAAGTATCATCATCAATAGATTATTATACAATTTTAATTGATTGGATAAATATATGTTTAATTAAAAGGAGGAAAGGTTTACTGGTATGACCTGTATATGTCACAGATCCGAACATCCGATCTTGAATTCAAAAATGTTCGACAAGTAGTCAATATAAATATATACGGTGAGCAGCAAAATGTGCGTGGTCTAGCTCTGTATGAATCCAGTATATATTGGACATTTCCAAATGCCTCTATTTTCCGAGCTGACAAAGACACTGGTGAAAACAGGGAAGCAGGGAGTGACATGGTATTCCTTAATCCATTTCAATTGTTCATATATGACGGTACGCCATTTTTATATTTATTCATTCATTTTATACATCAGATAAAATTCTTATTTGCAAGTGGTAAGCATAACTGAAGTCTATGTGATTTTATATAACTTTTTGATACCCAAGGATGTACATAGTTGTATATACACACAATTATATAAGTTTGTTTTATTCCTATAAAACAAATGTTTCAACCAACACAGTATACAGTATAATTGCAATTACATAAAAATAAACCACATAACTGTGCAAAACTTTGTGGAGGAGCGCAATGAGGCCATTTGGCAACTAATTAATTTTCTGATTCTGCGAATATCGTCTGTATGGTGCTTTATGTTATATTATGTTTTCTATGAAAACTGTTTTATAATTTTTATCTTTCAGATCCTGCAACGAATAAAACCAGTTGCGATACAACAACTAAATCTCCAGGTAACATATATAATAAAGTATATCTTGTGTGTGTGTGTGGGTGTGTGTGTGCGTGTGTGTTTTTGTGTATGAGGAGATGTGTCCACGTGTGTTTCGAAACATAGAATATAATACTGCGTAACAATAAAAAAAAAATCAGATGGAGTATGCAGGATTTGGCCTTAGGGTGCAACGATCCGACCCTGGGATGCATAGTTTGTGGTATGCAGACATCGGCCTTAGGATTTAACGTTCCTATTAACGATACCGTAAATATAAAATGAGTCTATATCAAGCTAGTACAAAAGTCGCCGACTCGTTAACCTATCTTGGTTTTGTTCTATCTGGTGATCTTAAATCATCAAAACATAGTCAGGATAGGTCGATTAGTCCATAGAGAAATCTGTTCTATTTTCTCTATGGTTTGAGGAAGTATGCGTTTAACCATGGATCATATTTCACCTGCATCATATTTAAAATTATGCTTAAAATTATGTCTACTAATTTTGTAGTTTGGTCAAAAGAAAGTGAAAAGGATGCGCTTACAACAATGTGTATATCGAAATCAGTTTCATCAAGTTTTTTAAGGGCACTTTTGAAAGACGTAACAGGCGCGGGGAGGGGGGCAGGGGAAAACTGCCCCTCCCCTGACGGTTTTTTCCGGGCTGACCAAGCCGTCGTACCGGGCTGGGTAATAAGAGAAAAGAAAGAGGGGTAAGGGGTAAGGGAGGGAAAGATAAAGAAGAGGAAAAGAAAAAGAGAAGAGAAAAATAAAGACAATAATAAAAAGGAAAATATCATAATGACCAGACTCACAACACCCTGCAACCCCTTCTCCACTTCAAAAACTGTCATAACTCCTTTGATCTATGCTGCTCGATGGCGTAACCACTGGGGGACAAGGGGAAAATATCTATCTTTGGAAAATCTTCACAACCCCTTTATAAATGCCCTTTTCATCCCCTGAAAGTGCCTAAAAACCTCAAAATTTCACGCGCATTTCTTGTTAACATGGGCAAATTTCCTCTAAAATTTGCACATTTTAGCGAGTTTTGATCAATCCCAACGAAATTAGAATTAAAAACACCGGGGGACAAGGGGAAAATATCCATCTTTGGAAAATCTTTCCCCACCCTTTGACAAACGCATCTTCTGAAAGTGCCTAAAATTCTCAAATTCTTACGGTTACGGTAGGCCAATTTCCTCTATAAAATGCACATTTTAGGGAGTTTTCATCAATTCCGACGAAATCAGAATTAAAAACACAAAAATATTTTGCATTTTTTTATGGCTTTTTTAGGTTTATCCTTTTAAGTTACACATAATAGTCCCAAACTCAAGAAAGACAAATTTAAGATAGATTGTTTTAACCTAAAAGAAGGGCCTCAATGTGTATTGATGGTGAAAGAATATATTTGTAATAAATAAAACCATGACGAAAATGCTTATATTTAGTTTTAAACACACGTGTGTGGCCTATATTATAAATAAGATAAGCCCTATGTCGTATTGTTTTCTATATGGGGAGTGGGGTGGGGTGGGTATGGTAAATTACTAACCGGGAAAATAAATACCCACTCTGACCCAAGACCCCTGTTACGCGCCTGGTGTTAGCGCCAATGTGTGCCCTTGTGCGGACAGGGGATGTGCCCCTCTCTGAAGATGGAAACCTTGTTTTTGCAAAAGAAATTGATGCAATTTGCTATTATAGGCCTAATCAATAAATTCCTCATCAAGCGATATAACCTTAAACATTCTTGGAATTGACATAACATTACTGATGTCGTACACACCCTTCAGTGTGAAATGTGGCTCTCTTTGCAAGCACATCTAACATCTAAGGAAAGAAGAGCTTAGATTAGTACCAGATAAAATAATTTTGTTATCAACATGAATACACTATGCTAATTTTCATCTTTGTAAGCGCAAAAGACAGTGCAAATTATTTCTGTGACAGTCTTTTGAAGTGTGTAAGCTTCATTTTATCCCATACATAAGCCTGGTTCACGTCGAACTTTATCTAGATATACCCGTCTTGAAACATGATACGATAATCCCCTAATTGCGTTCGATGCCAAGTTAGAGCCAGATAAACAGCCAGCCAGTTTCATGCCGTCGACGACACACGGTGGGAATGGTTGTTTAATAAAACATCTACTGTATTTTACGAACCTCTAGTACCAAGTAGTATTCGTTCAAAAAAATTGTAAACTATTGTAGAGAATGTGCGAGTTTCCACTACCTAACCTAGCCGACCAGTACGAACCAACGACAGTGCAGCAGCGTGTTCTATCGCAATCTAAGTAGTAGATTCTCTAGGCCCTAGCTAAATTTACCTTAAAAAAAACCCGAATTATTTTAATCGCTAGCTAGCATTATTCCATTTAACAAAATACGGTATTGTTTTAATTTTCATTAAAACGTCTGTATACTTTATGGACCTTTCTGTCCTGTTTTGTAGTTTTTAGATCGCTCAATTGTGTTTGCATGCACTTCGCGAAAATCTAGCTTCGCGGTGTCAAATAAGTTGATGACTTCTACACACTTTTTTATTTCGTCATCGTAAACATGTGCGCAAATTTTAACGGCTGGCGTTGGTGGTAGTTCGTTGAAACTGAATTAATTGCGACTATTATAGCATAAATGGAAAAGATTGAATTGTCAATAAATAAATACAACAAATCTGATTTTATTATTAAGAAAAATATACATTATCACTTTGGAAAACATACGCAATCTGACTTCTTAACGTTATTACTTGGTCGATGATGCAAAGGGCAAAGGTCATTGGAATATCGACTATTCGTAAAACGGACGTTTGCTGGGTTTTTACCCATAATATTACAAATAATTTCGAAAAACCAGACTAATGAGACTACTTCGATGCTGTTGTTAGCATTGTTGAAGTAAATATGATAATGGTGGTACAATACAACAACGCTGGCTTAGATGCCTACGTTACGTAATCGTGTCCTTGTAATCCGAGCCGACTTTACCGTTAAGCAAGTTAATTTACCGTTATTCTAGTAAAGTTAAGTCACTTAAACTTAAGTGACTTAATTTCTTTATCTAGCTATAATTGAGTGGTTCACGTCGAACTTTTAACTAGTTAAGTGGATATATATCTAGATAAAAGTTCGACGTGAACCAGGCTAATGTCAAAATATTGGGGGGCGGGGGTGTATCGAAATGCACGCCATCGTGTCGAATATTGAATCCCGACACGATGGCGTGTATTTCGATACTTGGAGTAGGCCTATGTATTATACCATAAAGAAAATAGAACAGAAGGAGTGCTATCGAGCGAAGATCAAAGGTACACACCTCCTCGCCGCGATCGTATTATGTCACCGTTACGTAACGTACTTGACAAATAGATAAGCTGAAATCGGCAAACGTGCTGGGGGTAGGCCTAGCAACGCCGCCGTAGGATTCACGCTAGCAAACATAACGTTAGCGTTGAGGCATAAAAGCCAAAATGATTGATGTTTGAAATGTTTACAAGGTTTCTGTAATAGGACAGATAAAGGGTGAGTTTTATACGAACCTATGAATATTGAATACTGTAATTATGATTTAATGATGATTTTGTGAGATATTAGAATTTTAAACCAAGCGTTGATTACCGCACGTACGAATGTCGCGCGGACGCCATATTTTCTACATTGCTGTTATACGTAGCCAAGGACAGTTACACCGAACTTTGTACATAAATTTCACAATAAGACAGTATTTGTACTATTAATATAACATATATCCTGTATCCCTGATTTATGGTTAACAGTTACATTATAGATAAAGCATAGATAAAAATAGGATATAGTGTTGAAATAATGGTATAATATAAATGGTATCGTACTACGAACAGTTTGATCGCATAACTTGATAGGCCTAGTAGACCAGGCTATAACTGAGATAGGTGCCACTTGGAGAGGTAGAAATTGTCATATGGTTTTTCTAGACCAGTTTTTTTTAATGGGGAATCAGAATATATGAGGTAAAAGGGGTGTAACTGAGAACTTTCGCATGAGGGCGCTTTTTCAAAATGGCCGCCAAAATCCAATAAACTACATATATATGGGTAAAATAAGCACAGAAGAGGTAGGTTTGACCAACTTTTGAATATGTAATGATAGGAGTAAAGTATAACTAGCTAAAGTTATTAATGTGAAGATTTCCGGAGGCAATTGAGGGCGCTTTTTTAAAATGGCCTCCAAAATTAAATAACAACTCAACAGCAGCTTCAATACCCTAGATTAATTTGTTTAATTTACAAAACCTGAATGTAATAACTGCTGTTGACTTTTTAAACCCAAAATAACATATTTTAGGGGTGTAAGCTAACTC